GTAACTAAAACTTTTTCACAGCAAATACATTCACAATTTTTTTTATCCGCTCTTATCATGATACTATCTTAAATCTAACCTCTAATATATCATGTAAACTTTTACTTAATTTAAAATATTTAATTCTATAACTCTTTTGTTAATTACTTTTTTTTCTATTTTCAAATTTATGAGAAAATGGAGCTAAGAAACGCTAGCCATGCTCTTTTTGTGGTAAGTCTACAAAGATAGATAAATCTACAGGAATAGATAATGGTCTATGTAGCAATTATAATAAGAGCAATTATCAGATCCATTATATAAACAAGCTTTGGGATAAGGCTAGGCAATTAGATCAAGTATACTTTTTAGGTGAGACTTAGAGGGCTGAGCCATTAAGGCGCTTCGCAAGACGCATTGCATGAGACTTATCATATATACTTTAAAGGATCGAAGGCTTATTGCATGAGACTTAGAGGTGTAATTTTTGTATGACTTAGTAGTGAGGTCTAACTTCTAACCCAATTTTTTACGCCTGAGGTTAGATTTTTGACCTTGGTTTACGTAATGCAAATGGCTTTAGAAAGATTTTCTGCATATCAAAAAATAATGATATACTAGAATATATTGTATTCTATAGCTTTTAAACTATGAATTTGATAACTACTAAATCTAACCTTTTTGAGGATAGACTTAGCATATAGATACTAAAGGTTAGACTTAGTAACCTTTGATTTTATCAATGAATCAGTTTTAGAATTAATTCTAGAATAGCATAAATAATAATATACATAGAAGGTTTGTAGAAACTCTACAAGCTTAGTTTTGAACCTTTAGTTCTTACCAATTTCACCTTATCTCGAACTCAAATAGAATGGTATATTTTTTTTGATATATTATTTAGGATTAAATTTGGGTTAGAAAGGCTATAAGAGATAGATTTATTCTTGGTATTTGATGGGGTAAATTAATGTTAATTTGATATCAAATATTTGAATAGTAAGAAATGCTCAAATTTTGACTAGAGTTTAAAATTTTATAGTAGATTCTTATAGCTAGAAAGCTTTGAAAATATGATTAGGACCTTTTTACAGATTTTTGATCTCAAAACTCCCATTTTCGCCTTACTAAATCATCAACTAATTATTATATAATCTTTATCTGAATCTTCTTTAATTATAGCAGTAGTAGCAATTATAAACTATAATAATATTATTATCTATTCAAATTATGATAAATGTTTTAACTAAAAGATTTTTATGTTAGATCAAATTCAGTTATCAATTTTGTAAAAATAAACTTTAATTACCTTAATTTATACCTAAAGATAAAATATCAATCAGTTTTTCAATTCACTTAAATATTTTATTTGATTTTATGCTATTTATTACTAAAAAATCTTTTCTTTAAAACATTTATTTATCTTAATTTTTTTATTACAAATCCTTAACTTTTTTATAAAAGAATAGATTTTCTAAAAAGAAATTTTTAATTTTTTTTATCTATAATAATAAAAATTAATATTATTTCTTTCTGAAATATAAGAATCACTTATTAAGTATTTTTTATAATTAAATTTTTTCTAAAGCATTTTTATTAATATAAAATAAAATATATTTTTGAAATATTTACTTTTATACTTAATTAATAAATCAAGTTATAATATTGAAATTTATTTTATTTAAAATTTTTTTAAATTTATCAGGTTTTTCTTAAATTATTCAGATTCATGATTACTTGCTTTCATTATACTTAAGATTAAATGATAAGTTTTAACTAATACGACACATATAAATGAACTTTAAGTTTATTTTTAAATAAACTAATATTAGTTTTCAATATTGACAAATACTGATTAATATTTTCAAATAAATATATAATTTATTTTGTAAGCTATTAGTGTCTTTTAAATCTTCATCTTATAAATTATCAGCAGTATTTTCAGATATTTTTTTATTAATATTTGAAGATAGATTAATTTTATCATATAATGTAATTTCAAAATATAAAGATAAATAATGTATAGATACTTAATATATTTAATAATATATCTAAAATATATAATAAAATTAATTTATAATAATTATAAATGAAATATTATACTAAAGTTTATATACTATTATTGCTATTATTATCTATTACAAAATATGATTTTATTATTTGATTATTTATTATAATCCTTTATTTGATTATTTATTTTCTAATCTTTTAATATTATAATTTCTTATAATATTTCCTTTTATTAATAAAATCACATAATATAATATTTTATGATTTTTTGACTTTATAATATTAATAATATACCTATTAATAAAATTAAAAATTTTATAGTATTTATTAATAATAAAAACAGATTTTTACATATACTTCAACTACAATTTGAACAGAATTTCAATCATTAAATATATTATTAACCTAAAATTTTATTTTATTTGTATTATCTTATTTAATATTATTTAATCAATATTATAAAGACTTTAAAACTGAATCCATAAATTATGATAAATTATAAGGTATTTAAGCAAAAATATATCAAAAATAATAGCATTAAAATTAAATAGAAAAAGAAAAGATTTAAAAAAGTTTAATTAAAGACTAATTTATTATAAATATTATATTATATTATGTAATTTATGTGATATTGCAATAATATATGATAATAATGGTAAATGCTATCTTCTTTAGTATTGCTAACACTTTTTTATCTTCATATGATTCTCTATAATTTATCACCTAATGTCACGTAATCTGTTTTACTATTTTTACTATATATTCAGATTCTATTTGTCACTTTATTTGTCACACGCATAATTTAGGCCAAGTTCAGTAATGCCGGCCAAATAATTTTGTACTTACCATTTAAGGGATAATTTAATTAAATTTTTTTTGATTTTTAAAGAACTATTCCATTTTATTTTAAAATGTATAGTATAAAAATTATTATTACCCTAATAAAAGATGATTTCTACAAGTGACAATAATGATAAATCAGGAACAGTATATGATATACCGATATAGTATAGAAACGGGAAGTGAAAATTCGGGAAGAATTTAATTGGTAATTTCGTTATATTATAAAGTGAACCACTAAAGATTGATTACATGAATGACATCATCTTGTGTAGCAAATCGTCAAGTTAAATTCAATCCACAATTGGGAATTAACTGCGTCGAAATATAATTCAAAATGTTGATTATTTTATGTTGATATTTACACTAAACGAGGTGCCAACAAATTATCTTATACACGAGGTACTTGTACTTATTTATTCCATGATTTTATTTAAATTTTGCATACTATGTTTGAGTTATTTTTTTAGTCTCCGATAAATCTCGACACGAAAATGGGCAATATAGAGAACAATGATGGTGCAAACCCCGAAGGTCAACACATAATTAACCAACTTATAACAACTCGGGGGTCTTCTGAACAAACCGAGTATGATTTGCAGTCGTTAGCACAACACGATTCGAACAGTTCAAACTACATCGTTGACGAATATCTTAGGTTTGGCTCTTGCATTGCTCTGCAACATAGCACAACGCTAAGATATTTATCAAGTAAATGTGCTACTAATAACGAAACATCAAAGAATGGAAATAAAGATCAGGTTTGTATAAGCATAAGAAATTATTATATTATTAAAAAAAAAGAAGTAAACCATTTTGTAGATAAGCAATAATTATCATCAAGTAAATAATTGTACGTCAATTTGTGGATATTGTGGGAAAAAAAAAGAACTTTAAAGTTGTAGAAAATTTCGAACTACGACCAATGGTTCTCTGCACAATTCAATCAAGTTCATAGTCAGAGATACGAATCATCAAATGTACCCTCTCCCTTCTCTTTCCTTTCTATACCCTTTCCCCTTTGACCTGATAGGTGTTTGCGGTGCGGCGAAAATCAGAGAATGAATTATGGATGGTACTTCAAGGTTACGGAGATAGACGTCGGTTGAAAATGGGGGAGATTGTCCCGTTTAATACACAAATTCGACTTAAGCATATAATATCACGACGTTATCTCCGTTCACATCCGGATTCTAGTGCTCCAATAAGTAATCAGCAAGAAGGTAAAAGAAATCGAATTAATTTACTTTTAGAAATTAATATTTATATAGATTGCTTTTCCTTTTCAATTTTCAATTTAGCAGTTTGTCATGGCGATGAACATATCAGTGACTTGAACGACAATTGGCTCGTACAGAGGCATAGCTACAGTAACCATTACGATAATTCTGGATATTGGCTAGCTGGGGATGCAATCACTTTAAGACATATTCAAACTGGTGCTACTCTTCACAGCCATAAGATTATGTTAGATGATGATAAACAAGAAGTAACATGTTATGGACCAGGACACGAGGAGAACGATAAGGTAGAAGACAATAAAAAACAAGTCAATTTATGAAAATATGCTGATGATTATTATTAATAATAATAATAGTTCTTTATGGATGTTTATTAAATATATATATACGTTTTTTTCTTCATATTAATAGTGGAAGGCCGAACGAATTGAAAATATAAGTGATTTTATTATAAATGCTTCACAAGATGGATAATCTCTCCAAGACAAACTTTTTTATTGACATTTTGCTGTTGACAGTTGAATGTTTTAATTATTTTTGTGTAAACACGTCATGTATACTACGTTGATCCAATTTTTTTTTAATTCTGTGAATCTTCCCCTTCTCATGCGTTACACCTATAGAAATTCACTTAAACATTATGTATTGGTAATACAACAACCCAGGGCGATAAAATCACGTTAAAAAAAAAAGATTAAAGTTTCTTTATTATATTATTAGTTAACTTTATATAAATAAGCTCTTAATAGCTCATTTTAGGCTGATAAAATTAATAAATCTTTGGAAATTTTGCTGCGTCATATAATTATTTATTGTATTAAATGCGCAGTACCGATTAATGTGAAACAGTAAATTCATGCTAAAATTTCTCGTTACACGAAATTTTTTTATTGATGTAAATAAACATCTCGATTTTTTTAATTAACAAAAATGTCTGCTCAACGTCGCAATAAATCTAATAGATCTAAGGAATACCGTAAACTTAAACGTGAACAGGCATTAAAAGAACTAGAAGATCTCGAAACAAGATGTCAGAATTTGGTAATTTTTCTTTCCTTAATAATAATTCTCCTATTTCTCGTTCTAATTAATTAATCGCGTTCTCTTGTAGTCACCAGATTCGATATATGGAAGGTTTACTGAGTTACCCTTATCCTCTTTGACTTTTCAAGGTCTACAGCAATCGAATTACGTTGAAATGACGGAAATTCAGCGTAAAGCAATACCAATTGCTTTACGCGGCCGTGACCTTTTGGGTGCCGCGAAGACTGGTAGTGGCAAGACATTAGCTTTTCTTATTCCAGTAAAGTAAAAAGTTTTTTATACACATTTCCGAGAATTATACAATTACTTTGTATCTAACAATTCTAAACAATCAAAACTTTATCATTATTAGTTGATTGAATCATTATATAGAAAAAGCTGGTCACAATTGGATGGATTGGGTGCTTTAGTTATAGCACCAACACGAGAATTGGTAACACATTTTAAATAACCTTGTTTAAATCAAATTAATCGAATTAACATTAATATTTCGATAGGCTGTTCAAATATTCGAGTTTCTTCGAAAAGTAGGAAGAAAGCATTCTTTGTCAGCTGGTCTCGTGATAGGTGGAAAGGATGTAAATATTGAACAGGAACGTATTAATAGGATGAACATTCTCATTTGTACCCCTGGACGTTTATTGCAACATATGGATCAAACCGTAAACTTCAAATGCGATAATCTCCAAGTATTAGGTTAGTAACAACTTAAACACTTCAAGTAGATTCAAAATGTTAGGTGTAACTTTCTTTTTAATTAATTAAGTGCTGGATGAAGCGGATCGTATTCTTGATTTGGGTTTTGAAAAGACTATAAACGCCATCATTGAAAATTTACCAAAAGAGCGACAGACTTTGTTATTTTCCGCCACCCAAACAAAATCTATTAAAGATTTAGCTCGATTAAGCCTTCAGGTATTTATAAATCAGATTTTTATAAAATAAACTTCACTTAACAACTATTTTTATTAATATTCATATTTTATTGCATTTAAGGATCCCGAATACATTTCTATAGTTGAAGAGTCAAAACATAGCACGCCAATTAATTTATCACAACATTATTTAGTTTGTGAATTACCGCAAAAATATGATATATTATATTCATTTATTAAATCTCATTTACAAGTGAAAGCTCTTGTATTCTTATCCAGTTGCAAGCAGGTGAGATTTTTTTTTTTTTTTTAAAAAAGAAAATTAAAATTTTTAATTTCGCATTTTCTTATTAAATCTTAATCTATCCCCCATATTAGGTTCGATTTGTGTTTGAAACTTTTTGTAAATTGCATCCAGGAATTCCATTACTTCACTTGCATGGCAAACAAAAGCAAACCAAACGATTAGAAATTTTTAATAAATTTTCTTCAATGAAATTTGCATATTTGTTTGCTACTGATATTGCAGCAAGAGGTTTGGATTTCCCCGCTGTTGATTGGGTAATACAAGCAGACGCCCCAGAAAATGCAGAAACATATATTCATAGAGTCGGACGGACAGCAAGATACGAAGCTTCGGGTCAAGCTTTGCTATTTTTGTTGACAAGTGAAGAACAAGGAATGAAAGCAGCTTTAGATAAAAAAAGAGTGCCGATTGATAAGATTAAAGCAAAGGCCAGCAAGACATTTAGCATTCAAAAACAGTTACAATCACTATGTTTCAAGGATCCTGAAATTAAATATCTGGGACAAAAAGTATAAGCTTGTATTGTATGATTTTATTTCATTTCATTTTTAAAAAATTTCCTTAACCAATTTTTATCATTAGGCATTTATATCATATATGCGATCAGTTTATCTGCAAAGTGATAAATCCATATTCAAAGTAGATGAATTACCTGCTGAGGAATTTGCTTCTGCCCTCGGATTGCCCGGTGCTCCTAAGATAAAATTCATCAAGGTTATATTAAGGAACTTTATACTTATAAACGGTCTATAAAAGACTGTTATTAATTTCTAAATCCTTTTTATTTAGAAATTACGAAATAACAATGTCACCCTTCAGAAAGCAAAAGAAATCCCCGGATATTCAAGTTCTGATGAAGATGAAAAAATGAACTTACAAAATCCCGATGGACAAGGGAAAAAAGCCAATAATGCTAAACCAAAAACTAAGTTAGAAAAGATGTTCAATCGTAAGAATATGTCTATTCTTACAGATCATTATAAAAAATTGGTAGATCGAGAAGCAGACAATGTTATGAGTTATGATGATGAATTGATCACTCTTAAACGTGCTGACCACGAATTACCAGATGAACTAAAACAACCGGTATTTCTTTGTTACATTTAATTATTATTTGTTATTATTGTGATTCAATAAATAAAGTAAATATTTTATAGGGTCGAGATCCGTTATCAAAACGCAAACTTATGAAAGCTACTTCAAAAAAATTAAACATCAAGAATGCGCCTAGAGGCGAAAAACTAATCTTTGATGATTATGGAAATGTAAAGATTTTGATTAAAAGAATCTTGTTTTTGTACTTTTTCTCTTCAGTTTATGTTATTCACGTTGAATATTATTATTTTTATTAGCCTCATCAAGTATATGAATTTCAAAACGAAAAGGATTTCCGTTCTGCAGGAGACATAATATCTCAAAAGAATGAATTTTTGGAGAAAGAATTTGAAGTTATGAAGAAAGAAGATGTTACAGATAAGATTATTGCAAAAGATAAAAAACGAGAGAAAAAACTCAAGAAAAGAGTTAAATTAATAGAAGAATTGGAAGATGAAAATGGTATAACTTTATCAAATGAATTTGATAATAATGAAAGTATTGAAAGAAACTTTGATGACTTATCAAATGATGATGAGGAGGAGGATATTGAAATTCCAATAAGTAAAAAACAAAAATTATTGGAAGTAGAAGAACCAGTAACTTTAGAAGATCAAGAAGCATTAGCTTTAAAATTATTGAATCGCTTTTAAGTAATGGATGTTTGCGCATTTTATTGGACAAAGAATCTTTTCACGATCATAAGGAAATTAGAAGAAACTCGAACGAATTTTTTTTTAAAACTTTTACGCGTGCTAGAAAAAAATTGTATATAAAAATACTTCATTTAATTGAAGTCATAATCGCTATATTTAAAATTAATGATATTATTAAATTGATCAGAACGTATTTAAATAAAACAATAAATGCATGATCCATTTTTACTTCATATATATATAAATAAATAAATAGTAATGAAAAGATGAAATTTTACTACGTATTAATCATTCTTCTATAAAACTTATATACGAAAATTAAATACAGATGGTGGCCTAAATGATCCGGCCAGTTTGTTTTGCCGGAATTATGCCGTGTTATAATATTTATCAACTTAAAAGTTATTATTTATTTTGTTGTACCTTGCATAACATTTTATGCGGGGTAATGGAATTTTTCAGAAAGATAATGCTGCACCACATCATTCAAAGGTTGCTGTGACCGCATTTGAAAATGCTGGTATTGTGAAGCTTGACTGGACGACACAGTCGCCAGATCTCAATCCTATTGAGAATATTTGGTCGGAAATGAAAAGGATGGTTCGCCGTCGCTCACCACCACTATCTAGTATTAGTGTACTTACGGAATATGTCAAAGATGCATGGGATGATCTCCCTCCTGAAAATTATCGAAAATTAATCAATATTATGCCTCAGAGGGTCAATACAGTTATTTCCGCAAATGGAAATAGAATTAATTATTAAATTATTGTAAAATTCAATAAAGGAAGGCGTAATAAACATGTTAAACTAAAATTTATAATTTTAATTTTGTAAAACATATAAATTTTTTGATATTGAAAGATCATTTAGGCCACCATCTGTATATAAAAAAAAAAAATAATTTGGCCAAAATCTATTAATTCATAAACTATATACAAAAGCTAATTTTAAATCATCTATATATAATTAAAATAATCAAAATAATTTATCAACTGGTAATGAAATACAGCTTGTTAGATTAATATCTAAGTATTAAAAACCTTTTTCGTCTTTATAACAATTCTGTTAGATTAGATGTTTTTACTACCTCAATCACATAATCCAGAGACGAGACTTTAGTCCTTCTATAAAGTTTTTTAATCATGCCAAAATTACTATCATATTTGAATTTAGTATATTCAAGAATCATAAAATTCATTCATAATAATTACAAATTACTAAACATAAATAAAATCAACTTGTTATATTATTTATTTTGATTGCCTTTTATCACAAATAATCTTTAAATATTTTTCTCTTTTATTTAATTTCTTAATTTCAAAAATTTTACTAAGTATACCATTAGGATTTTACCAATTATTTTATTTTTATCAAAAACATAATTAATTTATTCCTTACTGTTTCATCTTGAATATCAAATAAATGGATTTTATAGGATCTGAATATTTCTCATTTAACTTACAAATAATATATAATAAAATGTGTTTTTTTATAATAACTCAGTTAATATCAATATTAGAAATATGATTTTATTACAATTATATTCCTCTTATTAAGATGAATTCTGTAATATAAATTCTAATTAGTACAGTCAAAGCTCGTTATAGTGAATTTCTGGTTCCAGTCAATTTTATTTACAATAACGAATATTCACAAAAACGAAAAATTTCTTTATAGTGAATATTATATAAAATAAAAAGAAAATTTCTTATAACGCGATTTTTTTTTATTCATGATACAGGTTATGCAATTTTAATTGTAAACTCCTGTAGCACATTGGCATAGTAATTTAAATGATCGATACATTTGAAATTGTAGTGAATAATGTAAAAATCAGTGACTTAGAATGATCGGTTACACATAATAGATACACAAGTATTATACATGTTTGCTAATGTTGAAAACATTTCTACTAATATGACAAACGATACAAATAAAACATTTTTTAATAAATTGGTCATTAACTTTGACATAATCGTCTAAACTAAGGTTGTTGGATTGTGGTTTCATTTGTTATTTATAGCGAAAATCTTTGCTAGTATTATAAGAAGGGTCAGTGAGGATAAGGTTGACTTTTTTCTGGTACTTAAAGAGAGCGAGATAAGGGTTTAAAGGTTGTTACCTTCCAAGATTAAGTTGAAAAGTTAAGAGAATTAATTGAATAATTAGGAAGAGGTTTAAGTAGGTAAGGTTTTATAATTAAAATTTTTAATTTTTGAACGTATTTGGAAATAAACTATCAATTAAGCTTTATTATATTTATTATAAAGGTATTTTCTCCTATATTATCATTTTCATAATGCATTTAAGCTAATATAGTACTCGTTGATTTAAAATATCATCTTTACAGTCACACACAATGCAGTTACATAAAATTATCTAATGTAGATTGTTTTGCACTATCTTGGATATTCTTGTTGATTTTTGATTTTAAGCTACTAAGAACTTTCAACTCCATATAATTAATCGAAATATTATCCGGTAGATTTTTGAAATATTGAACTATTTTTTCTAAACTACTTAAAGCTTCTTTGTTAGTAATAAGATTTAATTCTAATTCATTATCCTCTTCTATATTATTGTCTTTTTCAAGACTTGATTTTACTGCAGCTATAATTTCTTCATCTGATAATTCTTCTATTGGTACTTCATCGTCAATATAGATAAATTTTTCAGCAATAATAGGATCTTGTAAATTTAATTTATCAATCATATCTTGTAATTCCAAATCAATTCTCTTCATATCATCATTAATAATATCATCTTGATCCTGATCAGATTCACTTTCTTCAAAATTAGGTAAAATACCTGTTTTTTTCTAATAATGTTCAATTGTACTTGATTTTATAATTTTCTATGCTTCATTTACAAATGATATAGTATCAAGAATATCAACTGATGTTATATTAGAGTTATTTTCTTAAGCTAAATCAAATTCTTCTACTCTATTCGTGATCAATAACTTTCTATATTGAGCCTAATAAAATTATAAATTTATAAGTACTGTAAATATAAAAAAATAAATACATATAACAATTTAATTTCTACCTTAAAACTATTAATAATACTAACATCTAAGGGTTGCAAATGAGCGGTTGTATTAGGAGGAAGAAAATGTACTTTAATATTTGATAATTGAACAGTTTCATCTATTAAATGTGTAAGTGCATTATTAGCCAATAATAATATATTTCAATTTTGTCGTCTCATTAATTGATTAAGTCTATTTAGATAATCACGTCATATTAATACTTGCATTCAGGCTGTACGGTTCCAGTAATACCAAATGGGTAAATCATTTTTTTTAATTCCTTTTAAAACACGAAGAGTTTGCCATTTATGTATTACTAATGCAGGTAATCTATGACTTCCATCAGCATTACAAGTTAAAACAACTGTAATACGATTTTT